ATATTTAACATCACTTTTACCTTTATTGAAGACTCTTGTTGGCAAATAAGGAATATCCACTAGGAATTTTTATTGACCTAAGAAAAGCTTTTGACACAGTAGACCACGACTTCCTACTCCACGAACTTGGCCATTATGGTATAAGAGGCCATGCGCTTGCTTATTTCAAATCTTACCTTACTAATAGGTATCAGTATGTCACCATTAAAGACACAGCATCAACAACACGGCCACTTGATACTGGAGTTCTGCAGGGAAGTGTCCTTGGTCCCCTGCTCTTCCTCATATACATCAATGATCTTCCAAACGTATCCCAACACCTGAAACCCATTCTCTTTGCTGACAACACGACTTATGTCATCTCTCACCCTAATCTTGCCACCCTCAACACCATTGTTAACGAGGAGCTGATCAAAATATCGACTTGGATGACAGCCAATAAACTTATGCTTAACACTGACAAAACCTACTATATTACGTTTGGTAGCAGAGCAGGAGATGCACAAATCAACATTAAGATCGACAACACTCTAATTACCAGACATAATGAGGGCAAATTCCTAGGCCTATACCTTGACAACAACCTGAATTTCAGCACCCATATCCAACACATAACCAAAAAAGTTGGGATCCTCTCCAAGATACGATACTACGTGCCGCAAACTGGCCTTATCACACTATACCATTCACTTATATATCCATACTTCACCTATGCTATCTGTGCTTGGGGTTCAACTGCAGCAACACACCTAAAGCCAATAATAACCCAACAAAAAGCTGCAGTAAGAATAATCACTAAATCCCATCCCTGGCAACACACCCCCCACTCTTCATAGATCTAAACTTACTCCCTGTTCAGTACATCCACACTTACTACTGTGCAATCTACATCTATAGGACCTTAAACTCCAATATCAACCTTGACCTAAAACGCTTTCTTGATAGTTGTGACAGAACCCACAGGCATAACACCAGACACAAACATCTCTACGACATTCCCCGTGTCCGACTAAACCTTTACAAAAATTCAATGTACGTCAAAGGCCCTAAAATCTGGAACACCTTACCTGAGAACTCTAGAACTGCAGACACATTCATCACCTTCAAAACTACCATTAGAAAACATCTTATCTCCCTGATACACCCCATCAACTAACTACACGAATACCACCTGGTGGTTCACACTTACACTCACTCACCCATTTGACCATAAACAGAAATATTAATCTCAATCTTAAAATAATGAATCCTATGATACTCCAATACTGAAACTATGTACTGTGCCAAAACAAAAGCATTCACATTGCTAAACTCACAAACTAGTATTTAGTCACTTAGCCATAATACCAACTTACCTCATAATTTGTAATATTTTAAAATAAAGAATTAAACTAAGTCTGCCCGAAATGCCTAGCCATGCTAGGCGTTCTAGTGGTACACTCTGTAATCATTATTTAACTACATGTAAACCACACAACAACCAAATTCTGTAAATTCAACATTGTAATCTTTAGAGAATAAACTTTGAATTGAATTGAATTGAAATGGAAGACGGCAAGGAGGGGAGAGGGAGGAGGAGAGGTTATTGCTTGGAAGGGGAATCCCCCTCCATAAGGACTTCAGGTATCAAGGCCCTATCTGGGGTTACTTCCCTTCTTTGTCTTTTACTGGCACTAGGACCAACTTGAGTCACTGGACCCCTGTTGCACAAAAAATCTATCCAGAGAGGTCTATTTCTGGCATCTCTTTAAGATTTGCCTAATATGGGACAAAGCACTGTCATTGAACATGTTGCAGACACGGTTTGCAACAGCTTTCATACTTTGCAACGAGTTCTTTCTTGAATTCTATCATGTTTCTCACCTTCTTTATCAAAGGGCTGGCATTCGGAACTTTCTTTGGCCCCATGGTGGCTTATTTAGCAGTCGCAGTCAATAAACAATCACAAAAAACAATGGATTATTACGAAACGTTTCGGATGAACGCGCGGGGTAATGCTCACTTAACGAGAAACAAAGCCAGACTGAGTCAGAACACGTGGGATGCTTTGGTGGATGCAGGCAGGCAGACGTGTTTGGTACGGCAGACAATTGTCAACTCTATGAAAAGCAAGTGAATATACAAAAACTAGGACAAAATTTCTATGAAAAAAGTCGTCGAAAACCAAATCCTACGAAAACCAGGGCATACAAAAACCGAGGTTCCACTGTATACTATATACATGCTCAGGCTGTGTAACCCTAACAGGTTTAAAACTTTCCATGAATATAAAGTATCTGTTTAAAATGTATAGTAGTATGACAGACTTCCATGACAGTTGATGAACACAACTGTAAAATATAAAATACAGCAGAACCAATGAAGTCAGGAAGACCATAGCTTATCTAGGTCCTCCCTGGGCAATTCTGGACTTTATCTGCAGTTTTTTGTTAACAAGGAAACTACTAAACTTGAAGAGGCATGCTTAATGAAAAATTAAAGTAAGCTTTTATTTAAACTTTGAGTATGTGGCTTGTAGCTTAGTAGGTAGTGGTCTCAGCTCACACACTGAGGGACTAGGGTTTGATCCCCAGTATGAGTGGAAACAGTGGGCTTGTTTCCTTACACTTGCTGCCTTTGTTCAGCTAGAAGTGAGTAGGTACCTTGATGCTAGCTAATTGGTGCAAGTCATATCTGGGAGAGAAGATTAACCCTTTCAGGGTCCAAGGCCAAAATCTGAAGTGGTGCCCCAGTGTCCAAGAATTTAAAAAAAAAAAATTGTTATTTTTTCTTATGAAATGGTAGAGAATATTTTTGTGAAGGTAATAAAACAAAAAGTACAAAATTTGATGGAAAATTGACGAAATTATGCTCTCGTGAATTTTGATGTGTCAGCAATATTTACGAATCGGTGATTTTGCCGACTTTGACTCCCATTTTAGGCCAATTACATTATTCCAGTCGACCAAATTCTTAGCTATTTCACTAGAATTACTTCTATTCTATCGATTGAGCACAAGAAATCGCCAAGTCAACCATTTCAACTACAAAATAAAGTGACCGGAAATTTGTAATTTGGCCAATTTAACACAAAGTTCAAAATATTCCAATTTCAAAATAGGGTCCAGAATAAACAATGTAGGCATTCCTGGCACTAAACTAATATTTCCTCTGTTCATTAGTTATGTTTTGAGGCTTTACAAATAAATTCCATTTTGAATTTTTATTCACATAATGAATTTTTATTCACACCAATAAATAGAAGATTTACTGTTATGCAATATTGTAATAATTGTATAAATATCATCACCATATTTGTGAATGTATATTAGACCCACCAGCTGGCGTGTATAAGACGTGTGAGGTCGTTTGTTTACTCTTGAACATCGGCAAAAATTTAACATTTCCGCCACTTTGAGCTCAGTTTCAAGCCATTTCCAGTGCTAACACCAATCAAAATTATATCTATTTCTGTGATATGTCTTCCATTCTATCAAATGAGACCAAGAAATCACAAATACAACTATAAAAAACATACGAAAAAACACTGCAAAGTCGCTGTTTTAATCGAAAATCACGTCTCAGTTTTTTCTCTCATTATACACAGTGTGCTGCAGGATTTGTTTTATGTGGTGCACACATACCACATAGATATATTCTCTCATATCTAGGCCCAAATTTACCACTCACAGTTTATCAGAGTGAGCTGAGCTCATGATGTAGATCTACGGTTTGGACCCTGAACGTAAAGCCGTAGATCTACGGGACGGACCCTGAAAGGGTTAAGGACCCCTAAAAGACAAAAATAAGCAAGACAGTCTGATGATAGTGACTATCAGGTTACTTCGGGTCACTTACCCTGGTTGATAATACAAAGATCTTTTTTCAACATACACAAAATTATAGTCCTAAGGACATGTAATCATTATGGACACACAGAACATATATTATGTAGATTTAACCTAGGATAATATAACAATGTCAAACAGTGTGACTTGTTTCCATAGAGGTCCTTGATTTACACTGGGTCTTTGAAACTTTAGAAATGGGATAAATCAATAGAAAAAAAATAAAATGTATTTAAACTAAGGGCATAACTCAAGTAGTATAGATTTCCTCCCTCGATATGGCTATAAAAAAATTGGAGTTATAGAAAGAACTAATCAGATTCAAAGTTCATACACCCCTAGGCCATCATAACTCTTCACCCAGCAACAATGCAATGACAATTTACCAGATCATGTATTAGAAATGGATAATGAATTCTTTTTAATTAATTCAATGGCCATCTCCTGCCAAGGTAGGGTTTCCAAAAGAAAATTCACCCACCAATATTCACTCAACTGCCCTCTTTCCAGAAATGTGAATTTTTTTTTTTAAACACAACAGCCATCTCCCACTAAGGCAACGTGACCCAAAAAGGAAGAAATGTAAAGTTTCTTCATTTTACATTTAATAATTTATACAAAAGGGGTTACTAGCAGACGATGCAACATCCCCCCAATGAAAAGCAGAGGTGTCACTAGCACGTTAAGAGACAATACAGTAAGTGTCAGGGGCCCGAGACTGTTCAACTGCCTCCCAGCATACATAAGGGGGATTACCAATAGACCCCTGGCTATCTTCAAGCAGGCACTGGACAAGCACTTGAAGTCTGTACCTGACCAGCCGGGCTGTGGCTCGTACGTTGGATTGCGTGAAGCCAGCAGTAACAGCCTGGTTGATCAGGCTCTGATCCACCAGGAGGCCTGGTCACAGACCGGGCCGTGGGGGCGTTGACCCCCGGAACTCTCTCCAGGTAAACTCCAGCCCCTTGCTCCTCTTACGACACACATGGCTTACAGAGGAAGGATTCTTCTCCACTTCCCCATGAAGAAAGTGTGCTAAATATAAACACTAAATTAAACAAAAGATTTAATAGATAAACAAATTAAGAGATAACTAACACCATAATATAATCTGCAAAACTGTACTTATTAATGTATCAGTATAAAACAAATTCAACAAAAATAATAATTTACCTTCAAGTTTGGGATTTTCCTTTGTAATTTCTTTGCCATTGACTTTACTGGCTTGTCTGTCTGCTGTTTTGTTATTCTGAAGTGCTTTTGTAGACTTTGCTTTCTTAGTCTTATTCTTAGTATGTTTTTGTGAAGTAACATTACTGTTTACTTTTGTAACCTGCTTCTGTACATTTTTTTCTTTTGGTACAGTTTTCTTTTTACTATCTATCTTTTCTTCTTTGTTAGTGCTTTCTGAATTTCTCTTTTTCTTCCTAGGTTTTCTTCTACATATTACATTATTATTACTTCTGCTTTTCAACACCCATGACTCATCACTATTGCCAGGGCTATCATCATTCCTATCTGACATGCAAATTATGACAGAATCCTCATCACTATTATTGTTATCTAACACCAAGGGCTTTCTTTTCCTCTGGGATCGAGTTCTCTGAACTACGATCTTGTCATCTTCAGCTATTGTAGCCTTTCCTCTCTCTATCTTATTTTCTGTCCATTTCTGTACATTGACATTACAGCTTTCCTTAATACCCTTCTCTGGAACCTTTTTCTTGTCATTTTTCTTTGGAGGTGTACTTTTTTTATTATCCTTTCTTTCTGCTATATTTTGGCTTTTGAAAGTTTTCTTTTTCTCCTTCCTAGGCTTACTTCTATCATCATCATCATCACTGTCACCACTATCAAGGACTATTATCAAGGGCTTTCTTCCCCTCTTTGATCTTGTTCTGCAGACAGTGATCTTGTCTTTCTCAGATTCATTATGTTTCTCACTGACCTTATCAGCCTTTTCCTGTGCACCTTTGGTCAATTTTTTACTAACATGTTGCTTTATTTCATTCTTTTCTTGTTTATTAATGTTCACCTTGTTTTCTTTACCTCTGCATCTGTTAATTTTTTCTTGGTCTTTCTGAGGTAGCTTCTCTTCCCTCAATGCTTCATTTTCAAGGGAAAGTATTTTAGATCGGGTTTTATTTTTAGCTTGGGGAGTTACAATGTCTTTTAAGATCAGTGAAGCTTGTACTGCTGCTCTTCTCTTTGGGGGTCTACTTAATATTACATCTTCTTTATCATTATTATGTGCCCTCAGGCACGATCCCTGGTTTACTATCATAGCTGGCAAATCCACCCTCTCCCTTGCTTGTTCCTTATTATTCTGAGTTTCATTTACTTTTCTCTTACAGCCCCTGCTTTGTTTTTTTTTTGACTTGTCTGGGGTTACAATTTTAAAAATTATGTCTGTCCTCTTCGCCCTATCTATGACATAATTTGATGGAACACAGTAAGCATTATGACGGTTTCCCACAGTATCTTTTATATTGTCACTTCGTAGTCTTGGCATATGCAACTGGGTGGCAGGTATTTGAGGAAGATCCCTGTCTAGGTTCCACTTTCCCAAAAAGAAGGCTTCAAGAGGCACTTCAATTTCTTTTAATTTCTTCATTTCAGTCACCTCTTGTCATGAATTCTGAAAAAAAAAAAATCTTCATTAATGTTATATTATGTTAACTACTGTATACAATGCAGTGGATACACATTTTCGATACAGTCCACCAAAACATCCTTCATCTTAAACTAGAGCATTATGGTATCTGAGGTTATGCGTTTGCATACTTAAAGTCCTGCATTAACAACAGACACCAATACTTCTCTGTCAAGGACATAATCTCGCCAACACAACCTATCGACATAGGGATATCCCAAGGCAGTGTTCTCAGCCCTTTGCTTTTCCTCATATACGTCAATGATATTCCTAATGCATCTCAACAAGTTAGACCTTTTGTTTGCAGATGACACAACTTTTGTCATTTTCCACTCAAATCCAAACTCTCTCAATTACACGGTCAATGAGCTCATAATGATATCTACCTGGATGACTACTAATAAACTCACTCTTAACATTGATAAGACCTTCTACATGGTGTTTGGGAAGAGAGCTTCAAATGACCAACTAAATGTTATAATTAATAGTTTTCCCACTGAAAGACAAATGAAGGAATATTCTGGAAAATTCAACACCTGAAATTCAACACCCACATTCAGCACAAAACAAAAATGGTATCCAAATCAGTTGGCATCCTCTCCAAGATATGTTACTTACATTATACTACTCTCTAATCTATCCTTACCTCATCTGTGCTATTTGTGCCTGGGGATCCACTACAGCAAATGACCTAAAAGTTAGTTACTCAACAAAAAGCAGCTGTATGAATGATCACTCAGTCTAGTGCTAGGCAACACACTGCCCACTCTTCAAAAGATTAAACCTATTTAGTATACATAAAATTCACTCATATTTCTGTGCATACTACATATAAATGACAATCGATTAAAATATTATTCCTGCCATAAAACTCTTGACCACCTCCAATTTCGATAAAATTTTACACGAAGGTTGGCATGCATATCAAACTAACTTTGGGAAAATTTTAATTCACGTTATGCAACAGTAGTAATGATATGGACCTCAGAGTGGAGGCAGGTGAAAATTTCACACACCCGCGGCACGCAATCAACAATGTTCAGATTATTGCTGTGGCAGATCTTGAGTAAAAGTTGTGCAAGTAAACATGTCTATACAACTTTTGGAGCCGATTTCAAAAATTGCAGTTCTAAAACATACATGCTTTTACTTTTTTCACAGTATGAAGAAAAATGGGCAAAAAAATCTGTCAAGTAAAATTGAATCTTGAATTCAGCTGCCTATAAAGGAAAACATGATTTTAGTATGACATTATTGTAGCCAGTATTGTGTTTCATATACTCTACCCCACCTTCCCTCCACTACAGACTTACATGCCCTTCAAGTCATCCTATTTTGTTGCATACCAGGGCAGACACATCAAATTACCACCATGAACATACCTATGACAAACAGATCAAACTACCACCATGAACTTACCCATGAACACATCAAACTACCACCATGAACTTACCCATGAACACATCAAACTACCACCATGAACATATCCATCAAAGACACATCAAATTACCACCATGAACATACCTATGACAAACAGATCAAACTACCACCATGAACTTACCCATGAACACATCAAACTACCACCATGAACATATCCATCAAAGACACATCAAACTACCACCATGAACACAGCATGACAGACACATCAAACTACCACCATGAACATACCCAGGACAGACACATCAAATTACCACCATGAACATACCATGACAGATGCATCAAATTACCACCATGAACATACCATGAAAAACACATCAAACTACCACCTTGAACATACCATGACAGACACATCAAATTACAACCCTGAACATACCATGACAGACACATCAAACTACCCCCATGAACATACCATGACAAACACATCAAACTACCATGAACATACCATGACAGACACATCAAACTACTGCCACGAACATACCCAGTGTGGAAAATTTGCTATAATTTTCTTATAATTAGTAATGTGTATGTGAAGTGTTAATATAATGTAATGTAAATATGAAGTATTAATGGTAGTCACAAACTACCAAACTACTTCTGAGGAAGTGAGTGAGTGTTTCCAATTGAGTGGGGGAGGGGGGGTTGTGTAGATGGCAAGAGGACAGTGTTGGTGACACTGGTCATCTCGGCTCTTTATTTGACCCCAGTGGAGAGGTTATAAAAAGAAAACTGAATCTGAGAACTAATGCCCAGGTAGCCATCTTGAGAAGTGGTGTTGGCTCCCTCAAGGAATTGGAAATTGGCCAAATCTTCAAATGTAATTAATTATTGTATAATAGAAGTGGTGTCATCAGAAATTGATGAAGTTCACACCACATGTAATGTACACCTCTGAATGTATTAATTTTCACTACAGGTATGCTAATTTATATTGGCCAATATGCAATGCCTACCAAAAGGGAGGGATTAGGATATGACACCAAAATTTTTACTTGGTGAGTAATATTGAAATGTCTTTTATACTTTTCTGATCATGTAATTGATTTATATTTATATAAAATTACCTAAGCAAATTACTCAGGTCAAGTAACAGATATCACCGAATATATACAGTCCACACAACATCAATGTTACTGGCATAATTTTTTTAAATAATTTTAAGAACCATATGTTCTAATAATAATTTAAGGCCCAGACATATGAGACGTGATGAACTGAGAAGGTGAGCACGAAGGAGGGATATTATTGTGACCTGGTGTCCTTAAAGTCCTACTTGACTCTGAGGTACATCAATATCAGCTAGTGTAAACTGTTTGATGTACCAAAGTTTCTTCACAATTATGGGGGTGAAATAATTCGGAATATTGCCAGTAAACTTTACCCCGCATAATTTCTCACACCTTGGACACACACATCAAACTACCGTGATGAACATACCATGACAAACACATCAAACTACCGCCATGAACATACCATGACAAACACATCAAACTACCGCCATGAACATACCATGACAAACACATCAAACTACCGCCATGAACATACCATGACAAACACATCAAACTACTGCCATGAACATACCCAAGATAAACACATCAAACTACCACCATGAACATACCATGACAAACACATCAAACTACTGCCATGAACATACCCAAGATAAACACATCAAACTACCACCATGAACATACCATGACAAACACATCAAAATACCACCATGAACATACCCAAGATAAACACATCAAACTACCACCATGAACATACCATGACAAACACATCAAACTACTGCCATGACATACCCAAGATAAACACATCAAACTACCACCATGAACATACCATGAAAAACACGTCAAACTACCACCATGAATATACCATGACAAACACATCAAACTGCCACCATGAACATACTGAAGACAAACACATCAAACTACCACCATGAACATACCATGACAAACACATCAAACTACCACCATGAACATACCATGACAAACACGTCAAACTACCACCATGGATATACCATGACAAACACATCAAACTACCACCATGAACATACCATGACAAACAAATCAAACTACCACCATGAACATACCATGACAAACACGTCAAACTACCACCACAGATATACCATGACAAACACATCAAACTACCACCATGAACATACCATGACAAACACGTCAAACTACCACCATTAACATACTGAAGACAAACACATCAAACTACCACCATTACATACTGAAGACAAACACATCAAACTACCACCATTAACATACTGAAGACAAACACATCAAACTACCACCATTAACATACTGAAGACAAACACATCAAACTACCACCATTATCATACTGAAGACAAACACATCAAACTACCACCATTAACATACTGAAGACAAACACATCAAACTACCACCATTATCATACTGAAGACAAACACATCAAACTACCACCATTATCATACTGAAGACAAACACATCAAACTACCACCATTAACATACTGAAGACAAACACATCAAACTACCACCATTATCATACTGAAGACAAAACATCAAACTACCACCATTATCATACTGAAGACAAACACATCAAACTACCACCATTATCATACTGAAGACAAACACATCAAACTACCACCATTAACATACTGAAGACAAACACATCAAACTACCACCATTACATACTGAAGACAAACACATCAAACTACCACCATTAACATACTGAAGACAAACACTCAAACTACCACCATTAACATACTGAAGACAAACACATCAAACTACCACCATTATCATACTGAAGACAAACACATCAAACTACCACCATTATCATACTGAAGACAAACACATCAAACTACCACCATTACATACTGAAGACAAACACGTCAAACTACCACCATTATCATACTGAAGACACAACAAACACATACATACTAACAACATTAAACACATTAACTGAAGACAAACACATCAAACTACCACCATTAACATACTGAAGACAAACACATCAAACTACCACCATTATCATACTGAAGACAAACACATCAAACTACCACCATTATCATACTGAAGACAACACATAAACACACCATTCAACTGAGACAACCTCAACTACCACCATTATCATACTGAAGACAAACACATCAAACTACCACCATTATCATACTGAAGACAAACACATCAAACTACCACCATTATCATACTGAAGACAAACACATCAAACTACCACCATTATCATACTGAAGACAAACACGTCAAACTACCACCATTAACATACTCAGGACAGACAGAGGAAGAGTTTAGTTTAATATGTTTATTATGCACCCCATACCCATCCTGTGGGCGGTAGTCAAAAGATTACAGAGGTACATAATTGGTCCAGGGACTGGACTCCAAAGTTTTGATAGCTGAGCAAGTTACAGAGGTAATGAACTCACAATTTACAAAGGTAATGAACTCACAGGAAGACGCAGGTCACTTCGTTGTTCTCGACAGATGATATTTATTTCGAGGTTTCTTCTCCTACGGACGGTTGTTAATGTTGTTAAAATTGTTAAGGGTTGCCACAACCCAGGTCATACTGAACACTGCTGCCCAGGAACGAGGTCATTTGTTCCTCACTTCTTATTCAGGTTTAAGTTTGTTGACGCCAGTGACCGCCACTGCCAGTTACTCCCTCTACTGCTATATAAAATACTCATTTTTACTTTTATAAATGCTTTATTAGAGCCCTTTACTCTCATTTTTAGTCAATAAAATTATTTCGTAGTTTAATCATTGTTTTTGGTAATAATTTGTGTGGTTATTATGGTCATTTTTTTATATTATTTATACCTTGTATGAGCGCTTTTAAAAGAAATTCATATTTACCATTATTTATTCTTTATTAGAGCCTTTAACTCTAATTTATAATGAACAATTGTTATTATTATAATCCAAAGGAAGAGCTAAACCTATCAGATTATTATTATTGTTATTATTATTGTTATTATATTCAAAACACTCAACCTACTCACCATACAAAACATCCATACTTATTACTGCACCTATTACATACATAGAACACTTAACTCTGATATTAACCCTCCCCTCAAACATCTCCTTGCCAACCTCAACAGAACACATGACCATAACACAAGGCACAGATCACTCTTTGATGTTCCTCGTGTCCATCTCACACTATGCAAAAACTCAATGCACATAAAAGGCCCTAAAATCTGGAATTCATTACCTGTAAATATAAAAGAAACACTACCTGTTTACAAATTCAAGTCTCTTCTCAAAGTTCACTTACTCACTCAAAACCAAATAAATACTGAATAACTGAACCTTATAAATTGTATATCCAAAATGTTACTCACAATTATATCACATAAATGTTAAACCTAGGACCCAATCTAACTTTGTTATTTTTTTAAATACACTACCTAACAGAATACTCCATTCTACTGAATGAACAGCAATGCAAGCAACCATATGACCTGTCTTTGTAATACTCATTTGTGCTTTATAGTTATCTGTTTACAATAATGTCTTATCACTGATTTCATCATTGCTTAGTTAATCTTAAGTTAATTTTAAGCCAGCCCGTAATGTTATGCATATAAGTGGCTTTGGCATGCTGCTCTTACCTGTATTTTTTTTGTACCTCTGTATGTATGCTAAAATTTCTAAATAAATAAATAAATTATAATCAAGGGGGAGCTCTTGATCCAATGATATGATCTCTGATAAATTAGACACATGTGCAACTCTTGGGTATCTTTATTGAGGAAACGTTTCGCCACACAGTGGCTTCATAAGATAAGATAAGATAAGATTTCGTTCGGATTTTTAACCCTGGAGGGTTAGCCACCCAGGATAACCCAAGAAAGTCAGTGCGTCATCGAGGACTGTCTAACTTATTTCCATTGGGGTCCTTAATCTTGTCCCCCAGGATGCGACCCACACCAGTCGACTAACACCCAGGTACCTATTTGCTGCTAGGTGAACAGGACGATAGGTGTAAGGAAGTTTAGTTTAATATGTTTATTATGCACCCCATACCCATCCTGTGGGCGGTAGTCAAAAGATTACAGAGGTACATAATTGGTCCAGGGACTGGACTCCAAAGTTTTGATAGCTGAGCAAGTTACAAAGGTAATGAACTAGATCTGGTCATAATCATGACCAAGTTACAAAGGTAATGAGCTCCAGGTTGAGCTGGTCACACTCATGAATAATTGCAAAGGTAATGAATCATAAACACATTAATCATGAGAATTTACAAAGGTAATGAGCTCCAGGTAGAGCTGGTCAAAATCATGACAAGTTTCAAAGGTAATGAATGATAAACACGTTATGACATGATTACAATCATAGACAAATTACAGAGTAATGAGCAGTTAACAAACATAGTAGGGAATTCATCCATTGCCCCAACAACAGATGTTGCTAGATGCCTGTCTCTCCTCGGTAGACAGCCATTGGAAACATGTAAGGAAACGTGTCGAAATGTTTCCACCCGCCGGGAATCGAACCCGGGCCCTCCGTGTGTGAAGCAGGAGCTTTAGCCACCAGGCCACCGGGCCACCAAGCCACCAGGCCACCGGGCCACCGGGCCATACAAAGGAGAATCTTGAAGAGCAGGAGGATAATGAGGTAATCAGTCCCTCAACCTTGAGTCGATGTGGTCAGTCCATCAATCTTGAATAGAATACGGCATATGTGCGGAGAAGGAGCTTATAAACCGTTGGTAGGAGAGGTGCAGCAGACATAGGTGGTGTCACATTTGTTCAGTGTGGAAGTAGGTCGTGCCCAAGAATTAGGCAAGCGAAGAATTCCCAGGTATTAAGATCCCAAGAAGTTGCAGTGTCTGACAGGTTTGTAGATGAATGGTTCAGAGAACCGACATGTTGATAAATTAAACACATGTGCAACTCTTGGGTATCTTGGGCACGACCTACTTCCAGTTTTCAGTTTAATATGTTTATTATGCACCCCATACCCATCCTGTGGGCGGTAGTCAAAAGATTACAGAGGTACATAATTGGTCCAGGGACTGGACTCCAAAGTTTTGATAGCTGAGCAAGTTACAAAGGTAATGAACTAGATCTGGTCATAATCATGACCAAGTTACAAAGGTAATGAGCTCCAGGTAGAGCTGGTCACACTCATGAATAATTGCAAAGGTAATGAATCATAAACACATTAATCATGAGAATTTACAAAGGTAATGAGCTCCAGGTAGAGCTGGTCAAAATCATGACAAGTTTCAAAGGTAATGAATGATAAACACGTTATCACATGATTACAATCATAGACAAATTACAGAGTAATGAGCAGTTAACAAACATAGCAGGGAATTCATCCATTGCCCCAACAACAGATGTTGCTAGGTGCCTGTCTCTCCTCGGCAGACAGCCATTGCAAACAGCAGCAAGTTGCCCCAGGATCTGCTGCTTGCACGAGCACCATCGACCCTCCCCAAGAGGTCCAAGAAGCCAGTGGCTCCGTTAGCAGCCAGATGGAGAGCTGTCCTAGGGACATGGCAACGTCCCAGGCCCTCGTGTGCACGGATGTTAAGAACATAAGAACGAAGGAACACTGCAGAAGGCCTACCGGCCCATGCGAGGCAGGTCCAAGTCTCCTACCGGCTTAAGCCAATGCACCCAACCTAGTCAGGTCAGGTCACATTGACTAAGGGAGGAACACGGCAACCGACCTGGTAGCACAAGCTATCAGGTCTAACTCACACCCACCCACATCCACTCATGTATCTATCCAACCTATCCTTAAAGCTACACAACGTTCTGGCCTCTATAACGGTACTTGGGAGTTTGTTCCACTCATCCACAACTCTATTACCAAACCAGTACTTTCCTATATTCCTTCCTGAATCTGAATTTTTCCAACTTAAAACCATTGCTGCGAGTCCTGTCTAGGCTAGATATTTTCAGCACACTATTTACATCCCCTTTATTTATTCCTGTCTTCCATTTATACACCTCAATCATATCCCCCCTAATTCTACGTCTTTCTAGAGAGTGCAGATTCAGGGCCCTTAGTCTATCCTCATAGGGAAGGTTTCTGATACATGGGATCAACTTTGTCATCCTCCTTTGTACATTTTCCAGAGAATTTATATCCATTCTGTAATAAGGTGACCAAAACTGTGCAGCATAATCTAAATGAGGCCTAACCAAGGATGTATAGAGTTGAAGAACAACCTGAGGACTCCTATTATTTATGCTTCTTGATATGAAGCCAAGGATTCTATTAGCTTTATTGCGAACACTTATGCACTGTTGTCTTGGTTTCAGATTACTGCTAACCAGAACTCCTAAATCTTTTTCGCAATCCGTAATATTAAGATCTACATTATTTAGTTTATATGTGGCATGGTTATTGTCCTGTCCAACATTTAGAACTTTGCATTTGTCTATATTAAACTGCATCTGCCACTTCTCCGACCACTGCATCAGTCTATTCAAATCTTCCTGGAGTGCTCGAATGTCCTCGTCAGAATGAATTCGACGGCCTATGTTGAAGCTTGAGGAACTGAGTACACACTGCCTCGCGGTCGAACTCCACGATGCTGTCCCTGTAGTGGAAGTTCCTGTGAGCCCGGCACTCCCTGCAGTGCCATCGCTGACATCGTGGGTTAGGGGAGAAGTACCCTCTATAGATGGTGTGGCGCTGGGAGTTGGGTGGGTGAGGCGGGGGAGACGGGCAGGGGCGAGGCGTTATGAGAGGGTCACTGTTTACTACACACCTACTTCCACATTGAACAAATGTGACACCACCTATGTCTGCTGCACCTCTCCTACCAACGGTTTATAAGCTCCTTCTCCGCTCATATGCCGTATTCTATTCAAGATTGATGGACTGACCACAGCGACTCAAGGTTGAGGGACTGATTACCTGTTCTTCAAGATTCTCCTTTGTATGGACTGATGAAGCCACTGTGTGGCGAAACGTTTCCTCAATAAAGATTCCCAAGAGTTGCACATGTGTCTAATTTATCAACATGTCGGTTCTCTGAACCATTCATCTACAAAGATATGATCTCTGGTTACCTTTGAGATATCGAGATTGAGATTTTTTTCGAGATTGAGTTTTTTTTTAAGTTCAAATCAAAAGGTTTCTTAAAATTTTGTTAAATACAATCTGACTCATGGACTTTTCTTGAATTGTGGCTGTCAGGTATTATAATCAAATAAAGCGCTAAACCGACAAGGGTCATGCAGCATGTATTATAATAATCAATACCGGAAGCACTAAATCTTTAAGCCTGTCATATCATGAGGCAATTCAAGAAGATAGCTAAAATGTACCTCATGAATAAGGTTACAGAAAAGGAGGAGAGTGATTTCTTGTATGAAAATAATTTTATCCCTCCCCTATCAAGGAAGGTTCCTTGATGTTGGTGAGGGGGCTCTTGATTTAGGGAATTGGATCTGTACTCCAGTTCCCCGAATTAAGCCTGAATGCCTTCCACATCCCCCCCCCCCAGGCGCTGCATAATCCTCCAGGTTTAGCGCTTCCCCCTTGATTATAATAATAATAATATAAGCGCTGTATAGCCCTTGTGGTTTAGCGCTTCTTTTTTATTATAATAATAATATCCCTCCCCTATGAAGCTGTGTGTAGTCTGTGGTCAGTCAAACAAACGGGCTTCCACATGGATAAA